GAGGAGGGCCATCCGCTTGGTGAGAGGGCAGCAGGACAGGCCCTACGAGGAGAGACTGAAGGACCTGAACCTGTTCAGCCTCAGCAAGAAGAGGCTGAGGGGGGACCTGGTGGCTGCCTACAAGCTCACCAGGGGGGATCAACAGCAAATAGGTAGAGCTCTTTTCTCCCCAGCACCACCTGGGGTGATGAGGAACAATGGTCATAAGCTGATGGAGAATAGGTTTAGGTTGGAGATCAGAAGGCAATATTTTACAGTTAGGGTGGCCAAAATCTGGACCAACTTCCCAGGGAAGTGGTCCTTGCCCCTACCTTGGGCAAATTCAAGAGGAGGTTGGATGATCACCTGTCTAGGGTCTTGTGAACCCAGCATTCATTCCTGCCTGTGGCAGGGGGTCAGGCTAGATGGTCTGTTCAGGTCCCTCCTGATCCTAGCTACTATGAAACAGTTCCCTGGAAAACCTCCTAAGACATGAAGTGTTTTGAAGTGAGGCTGCTGTAGCTTAGAAAGGGGGGGTGTCCAGAAATGGTACGATAATCTTGTCAGGCAAGGTTCTTTGGATAAATGTGATATCTTTTATTAGACAACTGAGTAGTTGGGGGGGAAAAAAGTACTTTGCAAGCTTTCAGGCACAAGCACTCTTCTTCAGGTACAGGGAGTCACTGCTGTTCTGAGATCTCCAAGGAACAAAAGAAGCTAAAAGTGTGACAGGAGGTCAGTGAGAATGTAAATAGGTGGAAATTAGTAAAACAATGGGTAGGAGGGAACAAGGGGGAAATAATGCCTATGGTAAGCAAGGGAGACTTCTGTAGTTGAGCTCTCCAAGGTAGAAGAGAGGCAGTCTGTGAAAAAGTAAATAGCTGGAAATTAGGAAGACAAAGGGTAGAGGAGGGGAGGAAGGAGGTGGGGGAAAGTGTGTAAATGGTAAGGTCAGGCAGGTACCTGGTGAATCGGATGTCAGGCAGGTTGTAATGTGTCATAAATCCAATATCTATATTGAGTCCATGATTTTTTTTAATTTTTTTTTTTGTATCCAATAGATTTGTGAAGTGAAGTTTGTCACATGCCCTTTATTTGGGAGACTTGATTTTTTTCTATTTGTGTGTATTGATGGTAGGACTCTTCTCCCCTCTGTCCCTTCTTCCTTCTTTTGGGAAGGGGCTTAGCTTTGACTTCAAAACATGATATGTGTCGCAGAGCATTAGATGCTGATGCATATTTGCCCTGCCACTGGCTGAATTTATGCTGAAGATGGGTTGGCATTCTAACTATTCAGGTTCATGCATCGTACCTGCCTGCAATAAAGCGTTTTGCTTTTAGTAGGAGTATCTAAAAGAGAGGTGACATATTGGCAATGAATAGAGAGTGCACGC